TATGTGCCCTTGACTGGGAATCGAATGCATGGGTGGACACTCTAACCACTGAGCAAAACCAGTCAGGGTTTTACATAATTCTTTTGGGTGAAAATGAAGACCTTCTAGCTCTCCAAGGTCAGTGGAGATAATGGCAGATGCTATGGACTGAACTGTGTTCCACCCCACCCACAGGAATTCATATGTTTAAGCTCTAATCCCCTATCTGACAGTATCTGGAGATAGGTCTTTAGGAGAAAGTTAAGGTTAAATGAGGTCATAAGGTTAGTGCCCTTTTCCAGTAGAACTGTGGCCTCACGAGAAGAGGAAGAGAGAGCTCTTTCTCTCTGCCATGTACCACAGTGAGGATGCAGTCATCTGCAAGTCAGAAGAGCTCTCACCAGAACCTGACGATGATTGCACCCAGGTCTTGAAGCTCTAGCCTCCAAATTTTTAATAAATTTGTTTTTAAGCCACCAAGTCTATGGTGTTTCGTTATGAAAGCAGAACTAAGATGGCAGAGTATTCATCAAAACTCTTTTGATGGCTGGTGGCAGACACTCAATTTGAATTAGTGAGGAAAAGAAGAGTATTCCTTCAAGGAACTCAAGGAAGGTTTTGAACAAGTTAAACAAGAAAAGAATAGGTATTGGGGGGAAACCACTGGCCTCTGCAATGTGGTCTGTGTAACCTCTCCACAAAGTGCAAGGGCTCACCTCACCCTGGAGTTTGGAGGGTGGAGGAACAGGAGTCAGGAGTTGACAAAAGAGAATTAAGGAGGACTCTGTGGGGCTACAATCCATGCTTAGTGTAACCATGCTTCAATCCATGCCTAAAGTTCACCACAAGTCACAAACCCATCCCCCAACAGATTTAAGCTTTTATGCAAATCCCTATGGCAACACCCATATGGAACTGGAGAGGACCTTGTTTATTGAGGGATGATATTTTAACCTTTGGGTAAGCTCATTATTAGTGAGTAAAAGAACCACCTTCTCTTTACTTCTTTCCCTCAGAAAATTGCCTTCTTTTTAAAAAATATGTTTTTACTGACTTTTTTTTATAGAGAAAGGAAGGGAGAGATAGAAACATCAATGTGAAAGAGAGACATACATCAATAAGCTTCTTCCTGCACACCCCCTACTGGGGATCAAGCCTGCAACCTGGGCATGAGCCCTGACCAGGAATCAAACCAGGACCTTTCAGTCCATGGGATGATACTCAGTCCAGAGCCACACCAGCCAGGCAGAAAATTGCCTTCTTGCCTAAAGAAAATAGATTTCATGTTCTTCTAGGAAGGAGTGAAGGCTCTTTTTGTGGGAGTGGAGTTGGGCACATCAAATTTGCATCAGAGTTCAGTGTTTTTAGTGTGGTCATTGTGCCTAAAGACAAAAGAGGTTTTGGTATTTCAAATATTTCTATTTTATTTCAAATTTATTATTCTAATTATATTTGACCTCTCTGAAGCATCTGATGCTTTGATATAAGTAATGTATTCAAGATAAGTATGTTCACTATACTATCTCTCTACTTTTCTGATCTGTCCAGCATATTTTCCTGGTTCCTCACCTTTCCTCTGGCTACTTATTCATAGCCTCTACTTCCTCTGCCAACCCTTTAAATATTGTTTATCTGTAGGAACCTGCCTTGCTCCCTCTTCTGCCTGGCTCATCTCAACCATCTCCTTGTCTTAACCCACAACCTATATATACACATGATGCACAGTCTGCTGGCCTTGGCTGTCTCATGAGTGCCTCAATACTCCACATGTCTAAGACTAAACTCATCATCTTTGCCTTGAACCCAGACCCACTACCATAAAAGCTGTTTCTTCTTTAGGGTTCTATACTCAGAAGCCTGATTTCTCTTCCCTCTTCTCATACTCTGCAACTCAAACAACCACTCTATCAAAACTCTTCCTAAATTCATCTTAAATATTCCTATCTCTGTCTGCACAGCCAACAATTCACTCAAGGCCACCATCAGTCCTCACCAGGATTATTACAACAATTTATTCCTTTTATCGCCACCTGCCCCCCTGCCTAAGCCATTTTGTATTGCAGCTAGAATGATTTTTCTAAGACTATAGAGGTAAGAGGCAGGCCACTTAAAACATTTACTATGCACCCACTATATATCAGACAATGGCCTAGGGATGAGTGAGGCACTGTGTTGTTTTTTTTGTGGTACGTGCCCCTAGTGGGAACTGAACCAGAGATTCTCTGGTCTGCAGGTCAATGCTCAACCACTGAGCCAAAATGGCCAGGGCGGCACTGTGTTTTTTAATTGTTGTGGGTTTTTTGTGTGTTTTGTAACTATTGGCCAAATATCTATATGGTATTTAGAAAATTCCTAATCATAGAACTTTTAAAAATCTTTTTATTGAAATATAATCCACATGCCATAAAACTCATCCTTCTAAAGCATACATTAAATGGTTTTTAGTATATTCACTAAAAGTTGTGCAATCATCACCACTATCTAATTCCAGAACATTTCATCTCTCCCTTCTTCCCCAGACCCTGGCAACCACTAATCTACTTTCTGTCTCTAGAGATTTGCCTATTCTGGACATTACATCTTTGTCTGGCTGCTTTCACTTAACATAATGTTTTCAAGGTTTATCCACAGTATAGTCTGTATCAGTACTTCATTCCTTCAATGCTTAATATTCCATTGTGTGGATATACCACCTTTTGTTATCTATTTGCTAGTTGATGGACTTGAGGTTGTTTTCACTTTATGAATATTAGAAATAATGCTGCTGTAGGCATTCATGTATAAGTGTTTCTATGGATTTATATTTTCATTTCTTGCAGGTATATACCTAGGAGTGGAACTGATGGGTCATATGGTAACTATTTAAACTTTTTAGAAATTGACAGACTGTTTTCTAAATTGGCTGCACCAGTTTGTAATCCTATTAGCAGTGTGTGAGGGTTCCAATTTTTCCACATTCTTCCCAACACTTGTCTTTCTTATTTTAGCTATCCTAGTGTGAAATGGTTTCTCATTATGGTTTGATTTGTATTTCCCTAATGACTAATGATGTTGAGCATCTTAGATTTCATGTATAACTCTATATGTTCTTTGGAGAAGTAGCTATTCAAACCCTTTGCCTATTTAAAAAATGGAGTTATCTTCTCATTGTTGAATTGTAAGAGTTCTTTATATATTCTGGATACTTATCCCTTATCAGATATATGATTTGCAAATATTTTCTCTCATTTTGTGGGTTATTTCACTTTCTCGAGTGTTCTCTGACATATAAAAGTTCAGTTTTGATGAAGTCCAACTTATCTATTTTTCCTTTCTTTGTTGTGCTTTTGGTGCCATATCTAAAAAAAAAAAAAAAAATCCATTTCCTAATCCAAGGTCATGAAGATATATTCCTGTTTTCTTCCAAGAGTTTTATAGTTTTAGCATTTAGGTTCTAGGATTTTTTTATTTTTATTTTTTGCACATGGTATAAGGTAAATCTAACATCATTCTTTTGCTTGTGAATATTCATAGAACTCTTAAACTGTATTAAATTGCTTTTCTTTCTTTGCAATTAGACTGTAAACTCCATGAGGGCAGAGACCAAATAAGTCCTAATAAATCTTCTTGTAATGAGTAGGTAGAGTAGGTAACCAAAATGTCAAGTTTCTTTTCTTTTCTGGAATTATATAAACTCTGTATAATACTTTTCATTGTAAGATTGGTAGTGAAAATTCCTTGAGAGTAACAATTTGGAAACAAACTGAATCACAGAGTGATAGGGACTGTACTATTTAACAGACTTTGGTGAAACTGAGTTGGGAGTCAAATGCTGACTTTCATTTAAGAACTGTGTAACCTTGGCCAAATTACATCACCTACGACTTATTCCCTAAAATGAGGATTTAATTGGTATAGAGTTAAAGGAATAATTAAGATCTTGTAACTAAATTGCTTGACATATTTTAAGCATTCATCAAATAGTAGCATTTATTAATTGCAAAGGAGTAGCAACGATATTGGGAAATCCTTTAACATACAACTACCTTTTATCCCAGATTTCTTCGTTGTACAAGTTTCACGATTTTTATTTTACTTTGTGAATTAAGTATTGCTAGACCATTGATTTTTGATTCCGAAAGAAAGGCATACACATGAACACAATTCAATGTGGGGATGACCTTAAAGTTGTATGCAGCCCTGGCCGGTTTGGCTCAGCGGTTAGAGCGGCGGCCTGTGGTCCAGAGAGACCCGGTTTCGGTTCCCGCTAAGGGCAGGTACCTCGGTTGCAGTTTGTCCCGGCCCTGGTTGGGTCGTGGGGGTGGCAACCACTCGTTGTGTCCCTTTCACGTCAATGTTTCTCTCTCTCCCTCTCTTCCTCTCCCTCCCTCCCACTCTATCTGAACAAAAAATGGAAAAAATGTTCTCAGGTGAAGATAAACAAACAAACAAACAAAGGTTGTATGCAAATCTCTGGAGTTCAGAGTGTCCTGAGCAACAGAAAGAAATACCCTTTTGGGTGTAAGAACTTAGTGGAAAAGGGAACTGAACAGAAATTCTAGTCATTTTGGATTTATTTCAATGTCGTACATATTTCAAAACTGTACAACAGTTATTCGATTACTTGTCTGTCTCCTCCACTACAGTCAGCATAGAAAATCCGTTGAAAGTCATTGGATTTCCAATATAGTGGGCATGCCTCGGATGGTTGAACTGACGTGTTTTGGCCGCTTGGGTCATAAAGGATTCTCTGGACAGGGATGGAGAAGTCGGAAAGCAGAGGAAACGTCTCGGATCCATTGCCAAGAAGAGGAGAGCGGTTCAGGTATGGGACACAAGCCTGTGCTAAGGCTCCAGTCGAACGCAAGGAACCGACGGAACCACCTGCTAGCACTTCTTTCCGGCGCCTAGCCCCGCAGGGCCACTTCCGGGAGAGGGCGGGGAGACCCGAAGCGGCGTGCGGGGAAGGAGGCCGTTTGCATTGCACCAGGCGGAAGTATGCTAAAGGTATCCGGGCTGCTGCTTCCGGTTCGGGTTAACGCAGTTTAGTTACACTGCATGGTTTGTGTGTGGCTGGGACAGACTTCTGAGGGCCAGTTAGCGGTTGAAGAGACGAGCACCGGCTTCTGGATTCGGAAGTCTGCAGTCTAATGGGAGAATCGGAAAAAAAGGCCAGGAACCTAAATACGATCTAACCTCTGTTTCCGAGAGGGCATCTTCCACCGGGAACCCCTCTGCCCTGGTAACGGCCAAAGAAGAGATGGCGCCAGTCGGGGAGCGGCCGTGGCCGACACAGTAGGGAAGCGCGAAGGCGGAGCCACCGGAGGAGCCTCGGAGAAGAGCCAGAGCCGTCACTGCCGGCACCACCATGGAAGGAACAAAGCCGACATTGCAACTCGTGTACCAGGCAGTGCAAGCGCTCTACCACGACCCAGATCCCAGCGGAAAGGAGCGCGCCTCGTTTTGGCTTGGGGAGCTGCAGCGTTCGGTGAGGGGCCGGGAGAGGCCGTTCTGTTCCGCGGGGCAAGGGCGGGGTAGGAACTAGGCTCGAGCCGGAGCCCGAACCAGGCGGTTGGCCTCGTGAGGTCCTCCTTTGGGAGGAGCTGCTTCCGCGGGGTGGGGCTCCGAAGCTACAGCTAGCTACGCGGCTTTTTGGAAACTTGTCTCAGCTGGCCGGTCGCGAACTGGCCCTTTCCTCACCCCGTAGAATCTGATAAGTAGGTCCTACACTTGACTGTGGCATGGATAGGGTCCACTTTTAAGTTTTACCCTTGCTACTTGCTTCTTAGGCCCTGCTTTTCCTTTTTGTCTTCCTTCAATCAAATCCAGCCCCAGCCATTCTCCATCTTCTACTTAAAGATGTTTTTATCCGTCTCCCCTCGTGTCTGGCAATTCCTTCCCAGTGGTAGCCTTACACCTTACTGTTCTTGCTGATGTTTCTCTCTAGTTTGAGTTCAGTATTCTCGAAACTTCTCAGGTTTCTAGATTCTTGTACACGTGAATTTTGCCTGTGTTTTGGAGTGCATGGTAATGTAAAGATAAAATGCATCAATTCTGATTTCAGAAAAATCGTTGCCTTTCTCTTTTTGCTGCATATTGGTTCTCCAACCTTGTCTTTTCGGTTCTTTATAAGATATGGATATCATAGCTGCTTTGATGATTCCATATGACTGTATGAGCACCTAGTGAGGGGGGTTGTGTTTCCACATTCTTTGATTCATAGTCTTATGTTTCCTCATCTACTTTTCGTACTCATCTTTACTGTACTTTATTTGTGTGTGTGTGTACTTGATCATTATTTTTGCATTTTATTTAAAAAATGCCCCCTCTTTTATTTCTTTTTTAAAAACTAATAACTGGCACTTAAAGGTGCTCTTCTCTTTTAAATCAGCTTCTAGGCTGCAAGTGCATATTATTTAAAAATTTATAACTTTTAATATTATACTTAAAAAAAAAAAAAAACAACAGTTGGAAATTCAAGTCCTGGATAACCTAATGGGAAAATAGAGGAATAGGATTCACTGTAGGCTACACAAGAAAATCATTCACATATGGTCTTATTTAGTGTTTAGTTTTTGTGATCTGGAGACTGACTGAGTCCCTGATCATTGTATAGTTTTCAAAGTAAATAGGAGAAATGCTACACCATGCCAAAAATCAGCTCTTCCCTACTAAACCTGCTTATTGTTGTGTGTATTTTAAATCAGTGTTTGGGTGCTTACCATGTACCAGCACCCGTGTTTGGCTTTGGTATATGGAAATGAACCAGACAAAAATCTCTGCTTGCTTGTGATGGTGAAATGACTTAATGCCTGCGAAGAGCTTAGAAAAGATCTGGGAATCTAAAACTCAATGCGTTAGCAATTGTTATTTAAATGATAGTTACTTTTATTACTTGACATTACTTTCTGTTACAACCTTACAACGTCTTCATCATCCTTGTCCTTATTATCTTACCACACAGGGCCCAACAGGAACATTTAGCACACTTGAAAAAGGATAAATTGAGGGAGATTTATTTTATAAAGGTATTGTTTATACGGTGTGGTACCTAAAGAGGTAGTGTCATAACTGTGGCCAAATTGTTAACATCCATAGGCTGGAAGGGATGGGAGAGAGAATGGTTACTTGAACTCTCAAGAAGAGTATGGAGTTGGCTGCATTGAGAGGAGTGGTAGTTTTTAGTTGAAGGGACACAGCCAGTATAAGGTGACTTTGCAGGGAGGAAGCTGGAGGAATAAATGTCTCGACTTTATTCTCCTAACCTCCCTCTGGGATTCCCTAGTGGGCAAACCTAACCAGAAGCTAGGGGACATGGAAACCTGTTGATAGAGTCTGTGCAGGTCTGCAAACTGGGGTAGAAAACATGGTAGAAAGGGTGGAAAAAGGGACCTGGAAAATACCTCGCACAGCTACACATCCTCATTTTTAGGCAGCTTCAGCATTTGAGTTGACAATTCAGTTAACACTTTGGCCTCTTAATTCCTTTACTTCTTTTTCTCAACCACCTGGTCACATAGTCACACCTTGGATCTTGTCATTAGTAAGTCATCAGGGCCATGGCCGGTTTGGCTCAGTGGTTAGAGTGTTGGCCCTGTGGAACAATGAGTCACGGGTTTGATTCCCGTCAAGGGCATGTACCTTGGTTGTGGTTTGGTCCTGGTTGGGTTGTGCGGGAGGCAACCAGTTGATGTGGCTCTATCACATCAATATTTCTCTCTGTCTCTCTCTCTCTCCCTCCCCCCCACTCTATCTGATGATAAATAGAAAAATATCCTCTGGTGAGGAATTTAAAAAAAAGTCACCAGGGCCCCACTGGTGTGGCTCAGTGGATTGAACATCGTACCATGGACTGAGAGGCCCCCATTCAATTCCCGGTCAGGGCACATGCCTGGGTTTTGGGCTCAATCCACGGGGTGGGGGACGTGCAGGAGATGACCGATCCATGTTTCTCTCTCACATTGATGTTTCTAGAAATCAATAAAAACATTTAAAAAAAAAAAAGGTCACCAGGTCCCCAAACGCTAACTCATACATTCTGCTCTGATCATAACCCACTCTTCTTCCATTTTGTTGGCTTAAGAATCTCAAGTAACCTCATATAATTTTATTTTTTGAAGTGCTATATAATTTTAATTTTTATCAAAATTAAAGTTTTATTTTTTAAAACTTAAAATATTCAAAACTAAACTTTAAAAACTTTTTAAAAAAAGTTGTAAAATGGAAATTTTATAAGAAAACTGCCTAGGACGAAAAAGAGCAGTTGTGTAGAGAGTTTCTCCTGTGAAAGATGAGGATTTTGGCTCCCTCCACTTCCTTTCATTCAATCTCTAACATAATTATATCATATTTTTGTTAAATCAGTACACACTGTGAATTGAACCATGTAGCATATATATATACTATGGTACTATTTCCCATTTTGTGCAACTTTTTTTTCTCGTGAACATTACCTTTTTTTCACATTTGCTTCCTTTTCTGTATATTTTCTTTAAAAATATATATTTTTTTTTCTTTATTGATTTTTAGAGAGGAAGGGAGATGGAGAAAGATAGAAACATCCATGAGAGAAAATATCGATTGGCCACCTCCTGCATGCCCCCCACTGGGGATTGGGCCCACAACCTGGGCATGTGTCCTGACCAGGAATCAAACTGGCGACCTCTTGGTGCGTGGGTCGACGCTCAACCACTTAGCCACACCAGCTGGGCTCTTATCTGTATATCTTAATAATTCATCACAAACCTTGTCAGTAAGTGTAAATATCATCTTAGTATATTTAAACTAGTAATGTTTCCTTTTTTGATGGAAGGAAACTTCTCCTGAGAGCCTTCCATCCCCTTGCTTAAATCTGTTCTCTAGGTACACTGTGGAATTACTGTCCTAGGATCTCTCTTTAACACTATCCTAGGGTATTCCCTTCACTTCTTCCTTGTGTTGGATGCACTGAATTCTTGGTCCCCTGACCTTTTCTTGAATTACCCCCTCATTGAATGGGTAAATGAGAAGGGAACCCCTTCCTTCTCATTTTCTTTCTCTTGAGCCACTTTTACCCTGAGAGAAGTCCTCTGGTCTGCCTCGGGATTATAAACTAGGCTGCTGGTCGCCTAGGAGAATGAGCCATGGGATGGATCTCACCACTAAGTATTTGCTTTTAATTTAATTTCCTATTTTCAGTATGATAGTTCTGTCTTTGAAGTGAGTCTGTTGTCCAAGAGTCCAGAGTCCCACTACTTCAGTCTTCCCAGAGTAAACCTTGAGTCTTCTGTGTTGGTGGGAGGAGAGTAGTCTGGCTGCTCAGTCAGGAGGAGTATCTAGGAAACTAACTGCTTATATAGATTTTGAACCCACTCTTCCCTTTGTCTTATGTTCCACCTATACTTCTGCTGTATATATTATGTACTTCTGAATTTTGAGCCTGATTTGGGATTTTGCTTATGAATCAGTTTGCCCCTTGGTGGCATTCTCACCCCATCCTGCCCCTAGGCTTATTTCAGCTTTCTTAGACTTGCATAGTTAACACTCGTCCACTAGCCTTCTAGTTTCCACAGTTTTGTTACTTTCAGTCATGTTTTCATTCTCTGTTCTTGTGGGCTTCCCCTTTCCCCCTTGACCTGTCCTTTCTTTCTTTTTTTTAAAATCTCTTTACTCTGACTTGAGTGGTTTTTGAAAGGCACTTGAGAGCAAACCAATGTATTCAATCAGTTCAGTCATGTTAAACAGAAGACCCTGCACTAGTTCTTAAATTGCATCAAAACCTTATTCCATTGACCAGGCCCCTACTTTTCTTTATTCAGTCTTGTCTTTACTTTATCCAGTTTGGATTCCAGGGTCTATCATTCTAATTACTTTCTTAAATATACCATCAACCTTTCACCTCAGATTTGGTAAAATTTCAGCATGGGTATTTTCAACTGCTCCCTTTTTCTCCTGTTGTTATAATGTGTCAGCAAGATAACCAGAGACACACAGCCAAATTGTAAAGGAGTGCTTTATTCTCACCAGTAGGCTGTGGGGGCGGGGGGGGGGTGGTGCATAGTCTCCCCTCAGATCAGCAGCCACGATTCTTCTTGCTCTTGCTCGTCTAATTTTAAAGACAGAAGCCTCATCCTCCTTTTGCCCCTGCTAGAGGACCGGTATAATAGTGGGTGTGACAGAGATTACAGAAGTCAAAATTAGCATTATTCACCGGGCTCACGGCTCAAGAGTACCTGCAAATGCCTGCAATTACCTACTCAGAAACTGCAAATACCTCCTAACACAGGGGCAACTATAATCTTAGGCAAAATTCCTTTACTTCTAGGGGTAATTAACCTATTATTGGAAAAATATCGAGGAAGTCCATCGATGATAAAAATGGAATTATTTAGTTGCCTTAGCCTAGAGGCCTACATAAGAATGGAATCTAGTCACCTTAGCCTTGGGGCCTAGGTCACTATCTGATATAGGTGCTCTGCATTTTATTTTCTGAATTCTCAGGAACCTTGA